TAAAATTGACAAGCCTTTAAGCAGACTCATCAAGAAAAAAAGGGAGAGGACCCAAATCAATAATATCAGAAATGAAAGAGGAGAAATAACAACTCATACCACAGAAATACAAAGGATTGTCAGAAACTACTATGAACAATTATATGCCAAGAAATTTGAAAACCTTGATGAAATGGACAAGATTTTAGAAAAGTGTCATCTTCCAACACTGAAGGAGGAAGAAACAGAAAGCTTGAACAGACCGATAACAGCTGGGGAAATGGAAGCAGTAATCCAGAAACTCCCAGCACACAAAAGCCCAGGGCCAGACGGTTTCACAGGAGAATTTTACAAAACGTTTTAGGAAGAGCTAACCCCTGTCCTTCTCAGACTATTCCAAAAAATCCAAGAGGAGGGAAGACTCCCAGACTCTTTTTATGGGGCCAGCATCACCCTAATCCCAAAACCAGATAAAGACCCTACAAAGAAAGACAACTACAGGCCACTTTCGCTGATGAACATAGATGCTAGAATCCTCAACAAAATATTGGCAAACCGCATCCAGCAATACATTAAAAAGATTATCCACCACAATCAAGTGGGATTCATCCCAGGGATGCAGGGATGGTTGACTATATGCAAGTCAATAAATATAATATATCACGTAAACAAAAGAAAAGACAAAAACCACATGATCATCTCAATAGACACAGAAAAAGCATTCGATTAGGTATAGCACCCATTTATGGTCAAAACACTCAGCAAAAGGGGAATAAAGGGGGCATACCTCAACTTAATAAAGGCCATATATGAAAAACCTACAGCCAACATCATACTCAAAGCCAAAAACTAAAAGCCTTCCCACTGAGATCGGGAACACAACAAGGATGTCCGCTTTCACCGCTTCTTTTCAACGTGGTATTGGAAATCCGAGCCACAGCGGTCAAACAAGAAAAAGAAATAAAAGGCATCCAAATAGGAAAGGAGGAAGTAAAGCTATCATTGTTTGCAGATGACATGATAGTGTACATAGAAAACCCAGTAGACTCCACCAAAAATCTCCTCAACGTAATAAGTGAATTTGGCAAAACAGCAGGATACAAAGTCAATATTCAGAAATCAAAGGCATTTTTGTACACCAGCAATGAAATAGAAGAAGAAATCAGAAAAAAAATACATTCGATATAGCAAGAAGAAAAATAAAGTACCTAGGCATAAATTTAACCAAAGACGTAAAAGACCTGTACACAGAAAACTATACAACATTGAAGAAAGAAGTTAAGGAAGACACAAATAAATGGAAGCATATACCGTGCTCATGGATTCGGAGAATTAATATCATCAAAATGTCCATACTACCCCAAGCAATTTATAGATTCAATGCAATCCCTATTAAGATACCAATGACGTATTTCACAGACACAGACATGTGTTTCAACAATGTATATGGAATCATAAACGACCCCAAATAGCCCCAGCAATTTTGAGAAAGAAAAACAAAGTAGGAGAGATCACAATACCGGACATCAAACTATATTACCAAGCCACTATAATCAAAGAAATATGGTAGTGGCACAAGAACAGACCCATAGACCAGTGGAGCAGAATAGAAATCCCAGAAATAAGCCCATGTCTCTTTGGCCAATCAATATCTGGCAAAGTGGGCAGAACCATAAATTAGAGTAAAAATTTGCCTCTTCAACAAATGGTGTTGGGAGAGCTGTACAGATACATGCAAAAAATTGAAATTCAACCACCAACTTACCCCATACACAAAAATAAACTCAAGATGCATAAAAGCCTTAAATATAAGTCACAACACCATAAAAGTCCTGGAGGAGAACATAGGCAGGAAAATCTCAGATATCCCACTCAGCAATATTTTCACCGATATATCCCCTAAAGCAAGGGACATAAAGGAAAGAATAAACAAGTGGGACCTCAGCAAAGTAAAACGCTTCTGCATGGATAAAGGAAACATCAGCAAAATGAAATGGGAACCAACTGTATGGGTAAATATATTTGCCAATGATACCTCAGATAGTGGTTTGATCTCCAAAATATGTAAAGAACTAATGCGACTCCACTCCGAGAAGACAAACAATCCAATTAAAAAATGGCAAAGGATGTAGACAGACAGTTCTCCAAGGAAGAGATACAGAGGGCCCAGAGACATTTGAAAGGATGCTCAGCATCACTAGGCATCAGAGAAATGCCAATTAAAACCCCAATGAGATACCACCTCACACCAGTCAGAATGGTGGTCATAAACAGCTCAACAAACAGTGGGTGCTGGCGAGGCTGTGGAGAAAAGGGAACACTAGTACACTGTTGGTGGGAATGCAGAGTCATGCAGCCACTGTGGAATGTGGTTTGGAATTTCCTCAAAAGCTAAAAATGGAACTGCCTTTTGCCCCAGCAATTCCACAGCTGGGATTATACCCTAAGAATCTCAAAACACCAATTGAAAAGAACCTATGCACCCCAATGTTCATAGCAGCACAATTTACAAGAGCCAAGAGCTGGAAGCAACCTAAGTGCCCATCAGTAAATGAGTGAATCAAAAAACTATGGTACATTTACCCAATGTTCATAGCAGCACAATTTACAAGAGCCAAGTGCTGGAAGCAACCTAAGTGCCCATCAGTAAATGAGTGAATCAAAAAACTATGGTACATTTATACAATGGAATACTATGCAAAAGGAAGGAAGGAAGGAAGGAAGGAAGGAAGGAAGGAAGGAAGGAAGGAAGGAAGGAAGGAAGGAAGGAAGGAAGGAAGGAAAAGGGAAGAAAGAAAGAAAAGAATGAACGAGAGAGAAAGAGAAAGAAAGAGAGAGGGGGAGGGAGCGATGGAAGGAGGGAGGGAAAGAAAAGGAAGGAAGGAAGAGAGGAAGGAAAGAAGGAAGCTACTACCCTTTGGGACAGCATGGATGGAACTAGAGAGCATTATGCTAAGTGAAATAAGCTAGGGGTGTGAAAGACAAATACTATATGATCTCAGCTATAAGTGGAACCTAACCAACAAAACAAACAAGCAAGGAAAATATAACCAGTAACATTGAAAGAAAAAAGAAACCAAGAGACTCAAGAGGGATCGAGTGATGGGGAGCAAGGAAAGGGAAGAGAACGGTCAAGTCAAGGAACATGTATAAAGGACCCGTGGACAAAGCCAAAGTGGGAATGGATTTGGGGAGGTAGGTGGAGAAGGGGGACAGGGGAAAGTGGTGGCGGGAAGGTGGAGACAAATGTATTTGAACAATAAAAAAAAAGGAATGATCTGTACATTTTAAAGCTATTTTTATAGTAGAAAAATGTACTGTGATCATATTTCCCTGTTATGAAATATAGTTACCAATTAATTCTAATATATATGTTGTACCCTGTCATTAGGATATCATTGTTTTGTTAGGTAATGGCTTGCTAAATTCTTTTTCTGAATCCTTTGTATGGAGGTAGATTTTCTCTCTATATCCATTCATCTTCCTGAGTGATGGGCCAGTTGCAATGCCCAACCACTTTGCTAAGCTGCATTTGTTTTGTCTCCCACCCCAAACACCCAATTTCTCACACATACTTGAGGCTGGCCCAAGATTTACCTGATACCCCTCCTATATACCTCACTTTGTGCCTTTATAATTGCCTGACTCCTTCTCATGGTTTCTGCCATATGACGTCCAAATACCCACCAGTTGCTTCAATTTATTTAAAAGTCCAGTTATACTGTGTGTCCTTGTTTAGACAAAATCCCCAGGAGATGTCCAGGACTAAGTAAATGTTTGGGATCAGTGTAGTCCAACATGCCTTGGATTTATAAATGCCACATTCAAGTTTAGAGCAAAAGCTTAAATCTGTATGCACTCAGGAAAGATTTATTGAGTATTCCCATGGTCTAAGTTCAAAGTCTAGGGGTAAATTTTGAAGGTCCAACCACCATCAACAAAACCTATTTGTCTGCTATGGGTTCCTAGTTTGGTTGCCTGAGCCCATGGAGGGTGTGTCTCTGGTAAGTTGGTAGCCATTAGGGGCTGAAATAGAAAAATTGGTGGTGTGACGTGGAATAGTGGCATCTTTCCTTGTCATCTGGGCTTATATGGCAGTTTTAGCCCATTTTTAGGGGACACAAAGCTTTGATAATTTACAGACTAAAAATTAGCCTGCAGGTCCTGGCCAGATAGCTCTGTTAGTTAGAATATTATCCTGATATGCCAAAGTTGCAGGCTTGATCTCTGGTCAGGGCATATACAAGGAAGCAACCAATGAATGCATAAATAAGTGGAACAACAAATTAACGCCTCTCTCTCTCTCTCTCTCTCTCTCTCTCTCTCTCCCCCCCTCTCTCCCCCCATCTCTCTCTCTTTAAAAACCAATACAAATTAAAAAATAAATGATTATTTTGTAAATAAACGTGTACACACACACACACACACACACACACACACACACACACACAAAAGTAGCCTGCACAATGTATATGTGTGTTTCCCATAAATTTCAACTTTCTTCCTGGAAAAAGACCTTACCAAACAGCTAAAGCTCCCAAACCTAACTGTCAGAGATTTACCTTTTACTTGTTTACTTTATTAAAGTAAAGTTTGAAAAACTAAGATTCTTTCTGATCATTTTGGACTGGGCAGTTTTTCTCAGAACAGTGCTGTGAAAAACTAAGAAGATTAGCAATCTTAATACACATCATAGAGCAGCATAAACCCAGTCCCACATATTAGCTATGGGAGGTATTAAGTAATAGAGAATTGGCTAGCTAACAACTAACAACTAATTTAAAATGTGGAACAATTCAATCACATTTAAAAATATCTCAAGGAAAAATTAGTCATTAAATCCAAGTATGTAGTTTTGGACACAGTTATTTTATGTTGAGTTTAGTCAGTATCTGTTACAGCTATTTGCAACAAGTGATAAGATACAACTTGTCTTATATTTGGAAAGCAAATTTCTATGATAAAGTTCCCAATGTTCAGAAATGTTTCTAATGTTGTTTTTCTGATCTATTCCTCTACAGGGTTCAGAAATAGTAACAGGTAATGCGAGAAATGGGAATTACTTCCGAATACATGTTAACAAATATAAAATGGTGGAAACCATCACATGCCTTTCTAAGGAGGCTTTCCCTACCTCCAACTACATTTGCTTGTTTGGCCAGCATGAGCAAGTCCTCAACAACCTGTGTGCTCGATATGAGGACAACATGATCACAGATCTCTACAGGTAAGTTGGACTGAGTATTTTACTAAGGAAAAATGCAATACATAGTGTCTTATGAATGAAGGGTGTGTTTTCTGATGGACCAGAAAACAAAACAGGAATGCACAGGAGAAGCTAGAGTGGTAGAGATTTCGTTCTACTATAATAATAAGGAATACCTGACCTTTAGCATCAATTAGAAGGTGGAGTCACATAGGGAAATGCATGGACTCTGGATGCACCTGCACATGGCTCCCATTGTCATGCACAAGCCTTAATCCCAAGTGTAGCAGTGCCAGCCTCCACACCATGGGTGGGCCCAGATGAGATGGTTTTTGAGTTCCTTTGACATGGGGCTGTTGAGAGCAGTAGTCATAAGTTTAAGAGGTAGTTAGGGTACAGGACATGGAAGCACTTGGTCCTGGTGGAGCTCCACAACCACAGACAGACTGCTCATGACCCCTCCCCCGCCCCCGTCTGTGGCTGTGGTCAAGCAGGGAAGGGTGACCATTTGTCCAGGATATTGTCAAGGGGATTCTGCACTGGCAGGTTGGTTTGACTGGATGATCTGGATCTTGGTCTTTCGAGTCTAAAATACTTTTTTATCCTATGACTCTAGGAAGGCTAAAATTTTAGAGCAGAAAGCTACTTCTGAATATAATTTGCTGCTTAGGAAGGTTAGGAGAATTTTCAGAGCTATTAAAGGTATAGAGGCAGGATGTAAATTCTAAAATTCCAGGGTCCTTAATACCTATTGGGGTGACTTCCAGGATCGGAATCAATCTCTCTTCCCTCTTAATTTTTTTATATTATAGAATACATTATACAAACAAAAAAGTATGTCAAACATGTATGTACAATTTAAGGGATAATATTACTAAACATCTATCTGCCTACCAACTACCTTAAGAAATAATTCCTTTTGTTAGGACATTAGAAGCCCTTCTCTGATTACAAACCGTGTCCCCCCATCCCCTGGTTTCTTTGGAGGTAACCACTATCCTGTAGTTTAGGTTAATCATTCCCTTTCTATCCTGTAAAGCAAATCTATAATGGACCATATAGTAAATATTTTCTGTTTTGAAGGCCATATTAATTCTATCACAAGTACTCAAGTCATTGTAGTATGAAAGCAGCCACAGGAAATGTTAAACTTTATGTATCAAAACAGGAGCCAGGCCAACCCTTGTTTTAAAAATGTGCCATGTATGTATTTCCTTTAAAAAATATCAATTTATTTTGCCTTCTTTGAATCAATTCTGTGGCTTACTAGAGAAAGTCAACGCTGTTTATCACTATGTTTGTAAGGCCCATCGTGGTAATGTTTGTAGTTGTAATTATTTTCCCTGCTGTATAGTATTCCCTTATATAACTGTGTCTCAGTTTATCCGTCTATTTTCCTATTGACTGATATTTAAATTGTCCCCAGTTTGATGCCATTACAATGTTATGGGCACTGTGGACATACCTCACCTGCAAGAATTTCTCTCAGGTATACCAGGTGATGCTGAAATGTCCACCAAAGTAGTTGTATCTACAAACTCAGCAGGGTACAGGAGCACCTCCACAGCCCTGGCCAGCCTTGGTGCAGTTACACTAAAATTGAGCTATTCTGATGGTTGACAAAATATCTTCCTATAGTTTTAATTTTCCCTTTTCTGCTTAATGATTCAGTTTGGTGCCTTTTCATTTATTCATGGGTCATTTGTGAGAGTTCCTGTAAAATGTCTATTTATGACTCTTGTCCATGTTTCATCTGGGTCATTGTCTTCTTGCTAATTTGCAGGGGTTATTCTTATAATCTGGATGCAAACTTGTGTTGATTATGTATCCTTAATATATCTTCCCCATTTTCAGGCTTGTCTTTCCACTTACTTTATGCTGTCAATTAACAGGTATTCTTAAATTTAAAGTAATCTGTTTGTCGTCTTTGGGGTGTTGTAGGTAAATTTGTCCCTTTGCTTCTCTAATAAGATTAAGTAACTTTGTCAAGCCCTGTGAAAGGAAATGTACTTGATAGGAAATGTAGTAAATCTTAGATTAATTAGGTAAGAATTTACAACTTTGTTATTAAGTCCAATATCATAGTATATTACAGGCCTTGATTATTTAGGTTTCCTAAACAACTTTCTTTTTTTATTTTTAACTTTTTTTAAAATTATTTTTTCAAATACCTTTGTCTCTGCCTACCCCACACCATTTTTCCTTGCTCCCTCCTTCCTTCCCTCCCTCAGCTCTTCCCCTTTGGTTTTGTCCATGAGTCCTTGCTATATATGTTCCTTGATTTTCCCCTTCCCTTCCTTTTCCCCACCCCCGCTCCCTCCTTCCCTCTTGTCTCAGTTGGTTTCTTTTCCTTTCAGTGTTGCTGCTCTTATTTTCCTTGCATCTTTGTATTGTTGGTTAGGTTCCACTTATAGGTGAGATCATATGGTATTTGTCTTTCGCCCCCTGGCTTATTTGGCTTAGCATAATGCTCTCTAGTTCCATCCATGCTGTTGCGAAGTGTAGTAGTTCTTTTTTTCTTTCTGCTGCGTAGTATTCCATTGTGTAAATGTACCATACTTTTTTGATCCAATCATCTACTGATGGGCATGTAGGTTACTTCCAACACTTGGCTATTGTACATTGTGCTGCTATGAACATTGGGGTGCATAGGTTCTTTTGAATTGGCGTTTTGGGATTCTTAGGGTATAGCCCCAGCTGGGGAATCACTGGATCAAAAGGCAGTTCCATTTTCAGCTTTTTCAGGAAATTCCACATTGCTTTCCACAATGGCTGAATCAGTCTGCATTCCCACCAACAGTGTACTAGTGTTCCCTTTTCTCCACAGCTTCGCCAGCACCTGTTGTTTGTGGATCTGTTTATGATGGCCATTCTGACCGGTGTGAGGTGGTACCTCATGGTGGTTTTGATCTGCATTTCTCTGATGGCTAGTGTTGCTGAGCATCCTTTCAGATGTCTCTGGGCCCTCTGTATCTCCTCCTTGGAAAAGCGTCTGCCCAGGTCCTGTGCCCATTTTTTGACTGGATCGTTTGTCTTCTTGGAGTGGAGTTGAGTGAGGTCTTTATGTATCTTGGAGATCAAACCTCTATCTGATGTATCATTAGCGAATATATTTTCCCATACGGTTGGCTCCCTTTTCACTTTGCTGATATTTTATTTAGCCGTGCAGAAGCTTCTTATTTTGATGAGGTCCCACTTGTTTATTCTTTCCTTTATGTCCCTTGCTCTAGGAGACATATCAGTGAAAAAATTGCTGCATGGAATATCTGAGAGTTTCCTGCCAATGTTCTCCTCTAGGACTTTGATGGTGTTGCAACTTATATTTAAGTCTTTTATCCATCTTGAGTTTATTTTTGTGTATGGTGTCAGCTGATGATCCAATTTCAATTTTTTGCATGTAGCTGTCCAGCTCTCCCAACAGCATATGTTGAAAGGCTATTATTGCTCCATTTGATGCTTCTGCCCCCTTTGTCAAATATTAGATGCCCATAGAGACCTGGGCTTATTTCTGGGCTTTCTATTCTGTTCCACTGGTCTATGGGTCTGTTCTTGTGCCACTACCAGATTGTTTTGAGTATAGTGGCTTTGTAGTATAGTTTGATGTCCAGTATTGTGATCCCTCCTACTTTGTTTTTCTTTCTCAAAATTGCTGCGGCTATTCGGGGTTGTTTATGGTTCCATATAAATTTTTGAAATGTCTGTTCCATTTCTGTGAAATACGTCATTGGTATCTTAATAGGGATTGCGTTGAAACTATAAATTACTTTGGGTAATATGGACATTCCGATGATATTAATTCTTCCAATCCATGAGCTCGGTATATACTTCCATTTATTTGTGTCTTCCTTAATTTCTTTTTTCAATGCTGTATAATTTTCTGCATACAGGTCTTTTACATCTTTGGTTAAATTTATGCCTAGGTACTTTATATTTTTTCTTGCTATATCAAATGTATTTTTTTTCTGATTTCCTCTTCTATTTCATTGCTGGTGTACAAAAATGCCTTTGATTTCTGAATACTGACTTTGTATCCTGCTGTTTTGCCAAATTCACTTATTACGTTGAGTTCTTTGGTAGAGTCTACCGGGTTTTCTATGTACACTATCATGTCATCTGCAAACAATGATAGTTTTACTTCCTCCTTTCCTATTTGGATGCCTTTTATTTCTTTATCTTGTCTGACCACTGTGCTAGGACTTCCAACACGATATTGAAAAGAAGCAGTGAAAGCGGACATCCTTGTCGTGTTCCTTGTCATGATCTCAGTGGGAAAGCTTTTAGTTTTTGCCCATTGAGTACAATGTTGGCTGTACGTTTTTCATATATGGCCTTATTACGTTGAGGAATGCCCCATTTACTCCCACTTTGCTGAGTGTTTTGATCATAAATGGACGCTGTACCTTATCGAATGCTTTTTCTGCATCTATCGAGATGATCATGTGGTTTTTGTCTTTTCTTTTATTTATGTGATGTATTACGTTTATTGACTTGCGTATATTGAACGATCCCTGCATCCCTGGGATGAATCCCACTTGATCGTGGTGGATAATCTTTTTAATGTATTGCTGGATGCGGTTTGCCAATATTTTTTTGAGGATTCTAGCATCTATGTTCATCAGCGAAACTGGCCTGTAGTTGTCTTTCTTTGTAGGGTCTTTATCTGGTTTTGGGATTAGGGTGATGCTGGCCCCATAAAAAGAGTCTGGGAGTCTTCCTTCCTCTTGGATTTTTTTGGAATAGTCTGAGAAGGACAGGGGTTAGCTCTTCCTAAAACGTTTTGTAAAATTCTCCTGTGAAACTGTCCGGCCCTGGGCTTTTGTGTGCTGGGAGTTTCTTGATTACTGCTTCCATTTCCCCAGCTGTTATCGGTCTGTTCAAGCTTTCTGTTTCTTCCTCCTTCAGTGTTGGAAGATGATACTTTTCTAAAATCTTGTCCATTTCATCAAGGTTTTCAAATTTCTTGGCATATAATTGTTCATAGTAGTTTCTGACAATCCTTTGTATTTCTGTGGTATGAGTTG